TAATGTTTTGATTTTGATTTTTCTATTACTCTTACTAAAACTGCCACATAAGTCTGATGTGGTGAATGATCCAGTTTGATGCCTGTTTGTGACAGCAAAACAAAAACATTCTAAATAAAAGAGGCATGTGCATTCTTACTTAAATCTTGGTGTTCTTTGTTGTATTTCTTTCTGATCTGTGCAGCAATCCAGCATAAAATAATTTCTAGGTCTCACCCACAGCTCTCCTCTATACACAAGCTATGTGCGCACAGTAATAATGCCTATTTTTACAAGGTAATATGAGTTTGCAAAGGCATTTGCTACAAACAATGTGTATTTAAGGCCTTTGTGGCTTTAGAGGAATACATTTGCATGTTTTTGGGTCGAGAGTTCTGTTTTAAAGCGGACCTTTACCCATATCTTTAAAATAACAACAAACACACCTTTAGAAATGTTTAGTAATGACAATCTACAAACACATACTTCTAGATAATTGCCGGCTTTGTATTCTTTGTATATCTTATTTCTCTTTTCTTCCCCAGTCTTCTCACACTGGCCATGTTTACTAAGGGCAGATTACTAGCTCTTCTATTACTTCCTGGATCTCTGGCATTTGTGATAGACATGTGACTAGGACTAGGGATGGGCTTCGCGTTCGAGTCGAACCTATGTTCTAATGCTCGCCGGACGCCGAACATTATGGGATGTCCGCGGTCTGTTCGGCCGCGGGACATCCCACAATGCACTGTGCCGTCCGAAACGGTAATTGGCTACAGTCTTGCACCTGACCGCAGGTCAGGTGCAAGACTGTGCCAATCAGGGCTCAGTACAAATATAGAGCCATGATTGGGCAAAGTCACATAGGACATGTGATCATGCACACCATCTCAGGGAAGAAAAATGCCTTTCCCTGAGATCTCCTGAGATTACAGATGGTATTTACCAGCAATGCCCTGCTGATGACAAGGCAATCCCAGTGTGCATTGTGTTGGCAAACTGAAGTCATTTGCACTTTCAAAGCAGGAAGTTAATGCTCTGCAAGTGTAAGTGTTTCAAAATCACAGCATTTTACACATGACATGTCTGTTATTATTAATCATCATACATATGATGAGGAATGCATTGGCAGAATTTGATTTTGGAGTGTAAAGGTCCGCTTTAAGGTTACTACAGACCGCAGATAGAGATCAGATTTGCCTTCATGATCAATCAGTCTTTTTTAGATGAGGGTGTTGGCCAACAATGTCTTTTCTGTCTATAGACTTGAGATGTTACTCCTTCAGGCCATGGCCAATGTTAAGATGTTATTTACTAATATGGAACAAAGGACAGTGATGTGGCATAATCCATAACTACCAGTCATTAGTATGAATACAGCTTAATCCTACATTTCAAAGCTAATATTTTATGGGGTTATTACACCATTGTACTTTGTATTATATTTCACACTGACTCTTATCCAATAGACTCAACACAATTGTTATTTTTCATTTTATTTTCTAAACATAAAAAAGAAAATAGTGAGTTCTTCTGGTTATTTATTTAATGCTCAATAAATATGACTGTCTTATCATATATACCATCTTGTATGTTTTGGAAGCCTTTTAGAGCTTCAGTGTTTCAGAGAGGAGTTTTTCATTTAATCAAAAGATTTATTATATTAGGTAGGGCCAAGTATAAATGCAGGATACATAGATTTATTTGCCAAGTACATCTTATTACTTACTTCTCAAAGCCCCAACGCTAAAAAATTGCTTTGTTAAAGCAGAACTCCAGGAAAACCAAAAGTTAACCCTTGCGCTGCTTGCTTTATCTAGGGCCAGAGGAATAAGCATATTCTTAGCGCATTACTCGCTCCCGTAGGTTTCCTCCCCTTCACACCAGCAGTTCCTGAAGCCCACTCAGGAGTTAGAGTGGAGGCCAGTGCAGCAGGAAGCAGCGGGTTGTGTACCAAGCACGCAGGTTAGCACGGTGTGTGGAACTGTCTGAAGGATACAGACAAGGGCCTGAGGTCTAAGGCCTGTGCATTAGTGCTGCAAGAGAAAAGCCAGGAGGCTGAATTTGTGCTTATTTTGAAAGTGATGCATGAATGTTGTGCTCAAAAACCCCTGCGAGGGAAACCTATATTGACTTTTGACCTTTTATTTTAATAAAAAAGGGCTAGCGGTTAGCAGCTCTTAAAAAGAAGGCATTTGCAAGTGGACTGCATCCCTAATGTGTTACTATTTGAAGTGAAAAATTAGATAGTGTCCTTACCTCATATGCCTAATATGTGAAAGAATCAGTAGCAGTTGAGCTAGTCGTCTTTGCTGCTGCTGAAGTGATAGTCCAGTTTTAGCCATAAAATGCACCAATGTGTCTATGATTTTGTCCAGAATCAAATGAATGTGGTCTGTGTCTTCTAAAGATTCTAAGGTACTTGACAGAAAGGTATATACACCTACGAGTATAAAAAGAAAGAAAATTAAAATAATAGTAAATATTGAATTTTACACATTTCTAACATTCAATTATATATTGCAGAGTATATAAATGAGACTGCACACCAAATACAACATAACATGCGTAACAAAATACTTCCTGCACAATCTCACTTACTATGTTAGACATTGTAGATGATAATAAAAACAACCCACAATAGTAGGATAGATGTCTGTGCAAAAACACTAGAGTCCATAAATCTTGACACTTTAAATTTAATTTTATGCTATTTTAGGGCATTTATGCCTAAAATAATATTGCATACCTATTATGAGGTCTGCTATCCCCTCATCCTGGAGTCAGGCATACATACATTTTACTAGACCTGTAGTGATGTTTTCGCACTTCCTTAAGATTGTAATAGCACTTTTATGAGCTAATGTAAAACCCTTCCACCAAGTTTCTGTAGACAACAGTAAATGTCTCATTGCACAGCAGGAGTTTAGAAGTCTGTTAAACATAAAGCATTTCTATTTCCATGTGTATCATAGATTTTAGCTCCAGTGTTAAAGAAGAACTATGGGGTCAGTGTTTTTCCCCATAGTTCTCCTTAGGGTAACGGGAGGACACAAACTAGCGTCCTCCCATTACCCTAAGCTCAGTATACCGCGAGCTACAGCTCGCGGTATACTGAGACGCCGCAGCCGGAGCGGATCCCGACGTAGATGACGGGATCCGCCCAGCTGCGTGAGTGACAGCTGGCTCTGCCTCTAGAGCCAGCTGTACCCGCCCCCTCCCCTGTCCGTTCCGCCAGTCAGCGCTGGCAGATCAGAGCGGGGAGAGGGGAATCCAGCCCCTCCCCCTGTCACGGCAGAGAGCCGTGACAGGATCGAGAGGTTAGCGAACCTGGTATGTGTTCGCTCACCTCCCGATCTACTGAGCCGACTTGTGACAGTCTCATTGTCACAGGTCGGCTAGAACTATGAGGTGAGTGAAAAGAACTCACCTCATAGTTCTCCTTTAATGAAAATTTACCGATTTGACAAAAAAAATGGATGTTTTGTGGAGATGGTCATCTGATTTCTTTGGGGCAGTAAGGCCCCATTCACATGTGCTATTAGGGCCAGACAGTGAATTCCTGTGGCAAGAATCAGTGGATTCTGGTGAGTGGAATCACATGTAGACATGTGTGCCTGAAAACATTTCTTTAGTTTTGTTTTGGATTTTTCCTTATCCGGTTTGGGATTCGGCCAAAATCAGAACTTTCGTTAATTTCATTAGCGGTAGTATTTACAAAAAAAATTTGTTGCAGCAAAGTGACATTAGACAAATGAAAAAAAAATTACATTTTTAAATTATTTTTTTTTACAGTGTTCCCCGCTAGGATTGGTCCGCCGGTTCGATTTGAACATGAGTTTGAATCGAACATCAGCCGCTCGAGTGTTCGCCGAACTTTATGGGATGTTCGCGGTCTGTTCGACCGCGCAACATCCCATACTGCAAAGAGGCCTCTGAAGCTCTAATTGGTTAAAGACTTGCACCTGACCACAGGTCAGATGCAAGACTTTGCCCAATCAGGGCTCAGTACTTGGGCAAAGTGATTGGGCAAAGTCATGATGACTCTGCCCAATCATGTCTCGCCTATCAGATGCCGGCAAACTACACAATTGGGCGGAGGTAGCTGTCACTGCTAGCTCCGCCCAATTGTTTATGTTTTGCCGCCATCTGTCAAAATACCATTATGCGGCGGGAGTTGGAGTGGAGAAGGGAAGGCGGCCGGCGTTTTTTAATTTGTATTATTTCTATTTATTTTTTATTGTTTTATTTTTTATTTCGTAGTCGTCGTGGTATGACTTTTAGGGGGAACCCCACACACTTTTTCTACCAGACCTTTCTACCAGACCTAAAGGATCTGGTATTGTTTAGGAGGGGGAACTGCACACTTTAAGAGTAAAAACATTCGCCAGCAGCCAGCATCCTATTTGTGCAGGTGAGCATAGTATTTTAGTACAGGTGCTGGCAATAGTTTGGGGCTCCATTCCAGAGATAGCGGAGGCTTCCACCCAAGGAGTCAGGATGTTTCCACCTAGCAGTCATGGTGGGGAGCCAGTTCACCGAGACATGGTGCATGTGTGCACAGAACATGTGTGAGGGTATACTGTCTGCAGGAGTAAACAAGGGCCTGAAGTGTGAGGCTAGAGGAGCAGTGCTGCAAGTGGAACCGAACCCACACGGCTGGTGAATTATTTGCATTTGCTTTGTGGCATTGGAATACGAATGTTGAAAACTCCTTTGAGAGTAACCTTTTGTTTCTGAACTGAACTTTTTATTAATAAAAGTGGGCAAGGAAGCCCTTAAAAAAAAGAGTTGGCAAGTGGCTGCATTCTTAATGCTCCTACCATTTGAAGCTAGCTCCCACACATGATAAAACCTGCCTTGTCTCTCCTTCTGCAATTAAAGGAGAAAACTGCTTACATAATACTTCTGCTGTTGTCTCACAACTAACACACTTTAATTTGTATTTCATAATAAAAACTGCCTTGTCCCTCCCACTTACAGTACTCTATGGAAGTGTACAAATCCATATGTTCTTGTTTGACAATACCTTGCTATTAGCCTTGAAAATGGCAAGAACTGATTTTCAGGATTTACCGACCCCAATAACTTCAATGGGGTTCGGATTAAATTTTGCAATTTCTGGAATGAAAGGCCCATGATTCAAACACAGGGACATTCACGTACACTATTTCTGATCATTGGAAAAGCTTTTTCACATATTTGCTGCATGTATCTGACAGACAAAGCATGTTGGCTGGATTGGTGGCCATCATTCTCTATAGTTATTAAACCACATTGGCTGTCGGCATGGTTGCCCAGTTAAAAAAATACCACAGTGAAAGTCGCATTGTTGCCAACAAGGGTGGGGAGACCCTTTATCATAATGTTTTTTATTATATTATTATTAACAAACCTTTCATGCAGTCTTCTATGCTTTTTTATGGGATTGGCATTTTTAATTATCCAGAAGGCACTGTCTCTGCAAGGGGAGAGAGGGTGTCCCTCCTTTGAGTCATTCAGCTGGCTCATTCAGTTTTGTGTACAATCTAAGATCTTGCTATTCAGCTCTATATTTTTATGCACAACAGTAAAGTAGTTCTCTAAACCCCAGGTTCTCACTTACCAAATTTTTGTTTTCAATTTTAATGTTTTTTATGTTTTCATAAACATAATACATTAGGAAAATAATTTATAAAAGCCACACACTCTTCAAAACGATGTGTGTGTGAGGACAGTGGTTCGACTCTCCAGTGTGCTGTCTGCACAGGGAATTTAACCCATGCTGCAGCATGTCATGCTCAACAAATTAATAAATAGAAATAAATAGAATAAGTATTACTATATATGCAACCTAACTGCATTGTAGTAGTAAATAATGAGTGTTTCATTGGGCTGTAATGTAAAAATGAGCACTGAATATACTCTGTTTAGCTCAGGCCAGAAGTGAAATATCTGTTCGTTCTGTTAAAAAAAAATATCACATGCTTCTGTTGTTTAATAATAATGATAATAATAATAATGATTATTATGATTATTTAGGTATAGTTGCAGACCGTAAAGTTAGGATTTAACAGCTATATCATAAAGCATATTTTAATTTACTTTCATTGTGGCTGCGGTAAAACAAGATACTTAAAAGAGAACTATGGGGTAAGTGTTTTTCCCCATAGTTCTCTTAATCGAGAACTATGGGGTTAGGGCTTTTCACCATAGTTCTCCTTAGGGTAACAGGAGGACACAAACTAGCGTACCCTCCCCCGTCCGCTCTGCCAGTCAGCGCTGGAGGATCGGAGCGGGGAGGGGGAATCCAGCCCCTCCTCTGCCATGGCAGAAAGCCGTGACAGGATCGAGAAGTGAGCGAACGCCGCTATGTGTTCGCTCACTTCCCGATCTACTGAGCCAACCTGTGACAGTCTCATTGTCACAGGTCGGCTAGAACTATGAGGTGAGTGAAAAGCACTCACCTCATAGTTCTCCTTTAAGGGTCACGGGAGGACATAAACTCCCCTGACCCAAGGGTGAGTATATATCGAGCTACAGCTCGCTGTATACTGAGAGCGCCGCAGCCGGGACGGATCCCAACATTACTGTCGAGATCCACACAGCTGCGTAAGTGACAGCTGGCTCTGCCTATCTAGAGGCAGAGCCAGCTGTACCCGCCCCCTCCCCCATCCATTCCTCCACTCAGCACTGGAGGATTGGAGAGGGAATCCCTGCAGGGAGCTGTGACTGACAAACACAGCTCTCTGCAGGGAGATGATCGAGAAGTGAGCGAGCGACGGTATGTGTTCCCGATCAATTGAGACGACTTGTGATGTTTTCATTGTCACACGTCAGCTCGAACTATGAGGATGAGTGATTTTCGCTCACCTCATAGTTCTACTGTAATTTTGGTAATGTAAAATTTCAGCAACTGTAGAAAGACAAAGAAATACATCATATTCAAGAATAAACTTCTAACACATAATTACTATGGAAGTGCTACTGTACTTATTGGTAACAATTATTGTTTAGAAATACTTGGCATGCAAAAAACATGTCAAGATAAAAAAAAAAGGTTAAAAATAAGTTATGGAATCTTTGAGTAATGCCTAGCGCGATGAATGCATTCTGAGCAAATGATTTATAAAGGATCCCAAAAGCCAAAGCCTGTGATTAAAAAATGCCTACTTTGGCACCTTCCTACTCAAAGCAATCTGCAGTCAAATAGGGCAACCTTGATCTTCTTTGCCAAGGTTCATATTATAAAACTTAATTCTAGATTACTATGCAAAGAGGCTTGACAGCTTAGGGTGAGGTGGGCCAAAAGGAAACCAAAAAAGCTTTCCATGAGAACAACAGAAAGTACAGTAAATGGGCAATGGGGTGGCCATTGCTGACTACTTCTCTGACTACTTCTCTTGAAAATGCTAGTTTCTTGACTGTTTTTGTGACTGTCTTCTTCAACACTTTAAGCTACTGACCTGAAACACACAGATAAGTACATCTTACTTTACTATGACTTTCCTGATCTGAATGCGTGTTCAAGGTTTGTGCCATAGAACATATTGAAGTTAGTGGGTCTGCATAAAAGACAGGCAAGTAACATTTTTAAGAGAAGGTCAGAAAAAAAGGTATTTAAATGTCAACAAATAAAAAGAAAATGTTGTTTATTCCTCATTTACGATGGTAACTAAAGCTATGCAAGTCATTCCTTCAGGTCGCTGTAATCATATGAGCAACCAGAACAACTGGTATTTAGCTCAGATACAGACTAAAATTACAGAGCCATTTATTTCAGCCTGCATACAGTTAGCTAGAACTTTTTGACACACATGAATGTAAGATATGGACCACATGACTCTACGATATGGGGACTGAGGGGGATCCGACTAGATTACCTAGTCAGCTTAGGCTAAAATGGAAGCACAACAGCTAATCTGAACAGACAAAAGACTGGCACCAGAAATGCTATATGACCATTGGCATCAATAACTGGGGAGAGTGGGAAGCATGGGCTAATGAGTAATGACATTTTCATACTTACCAGAATTGAGAAGGATGATAGATTTTAAACAGATGAACTCTTCCCCACGGAGCCTCATCATCCGGAAACGTGTAGCTGTGGTAACCAGCATATCAAAAATCTCAACCAAACCTTCCACACACCGACCCTGGTTCCTGCAAAGCATAATCAGAAGCTGAATTTTTGCTGGTTATATATGGATGTAGCAGCAGAAGTGACCATACATTTCTTCTAATCAGTGTTAACTCAATCTCTGGGGTAAGTCTCACTCAATACACAGGCTGCCTGTACAGTATATCACGAACAGCTACATAGTGTGCATTATTTTGGAGGCTTCTCTCACCTATCTGCACAATATGCCGACTTTACCTACAACAAAGCTGCAATGGCGTCTGTAACCATTTTGCTGTCATTGGCTCCCCTTTTACACCACAGGTGGCTGGACCTTTTTATTTATTTTTTGCTACAGACTTGAATGACAGCCAGAAACTTTTTGAAAGCCCTCCTCCTCATACCATATATTTTCTGAAATCTACAGATTTAAAACATTGCTCTGTTCATTAACAACCTACCATATTTGCGCAAATGCTTATTAAAGTGATATAAAAAAAATACCCTAAAATCATTATTGGTGCACATCAATACAACATACTTTCAAAAATGTCTACTGAATGTAAAATATAAAACTGCACTTAGAAAATCTCTAACACATATGTATACAATTAAAACTGATGTTTGGAATTAACCTGGATAATTTATGTAAAGCCTTATGATGCTGAAGGCATGAGCCTTCTCTCCTCTTCTGTTTACATCCATTGGGGTCCTTTTCGGGTGTTCAGGTCACTGCCTGCATGATGTGGGCACTTCCTATTAGCTGTCCAAATGTGGAAGGGTGCTGGATAGAGACCTGGGCAGTGAACTTGGGTATAATGTTCTTCTCCAGGTAAGAAAAAAAACCTTGCAGGATGAGTTATAGGGGGTGGGAGGTGTCTCATATTATGTCCAGAGTGGGTCTTTATTATTGTTTGTTTTTGGGAAATGATGAAAATCACTGATACACAAAACAGTAAATTAGTGACTTACCCTAAAAACGTTCACAAAATGATATATTTAGCGTTAAGTAAAATGATGACCCTAAAATTATTCCAAAGGACCCCTTCTCACCTTTGCAGTGCACTGTGTTACTGCACACATGAAACTGAACCTGACACAGGTCCATTTTCCTAGTGCATTGGGTGCCATAAAAAATTAATACAGTGGATGTAAGAATTGAAGTGCCAATATCAATTATAATAGTCCAGATACAAGTAGAGTAGCCAACCTGTTTTGGGGGTCCAAAACACACATCAGGGTTTAGAGAAATCCAGCACTTTATTTCAACTTCTAAATACAAAATGATTGGCATGGCAACGCACTAGAGCTTGCATGCTGTGGTAAGGCATGTTATCACAGTGCAAAAGTGGACAGCCAGCCTAAGGGCTCATTCACATTTTGCATTGCATTAGTACATGCATTTTAGTGTATTGAGGTGTATTGTGTTAACAAATTAATTAGCTGGCAATGCACAACAATGAATGGGCTGCCAGTGAACCTCAACGCAGAAAAAAACAGACTTATACCATTTTTACAATGCAGCACACACTAATGCACATGCTGAGGGTAAACCCAAAATTGCTCAGGTTCATTCAAAGTTGCTAGTAGATGGGGGGAACATGTAGAAAAAAATGAAACAAGCTCACGACTCCTGTTGGAGCCGTGAACTTGTTTTAACCCTTATGACTGCCATGATTCGTACTACATGTCATTGGCTCTCTATGAGAGAGACAGCCATAATATGTGGTAGGCGGTTTTAACAATCAAAGTGTTAAAGGATAATTGACGCCTCAGCTTTTTTCATATATCTACTGCTAGCAAGCAGTAGATATATATAAAAAGTGTAAAAAAAAATAACAAAACCGCTTTTAAAAGGGTTAATACTTACCCGTGTCTTCCCCGCATTCTCCCCTCCGAAAATGTGAAAATTCTCGGGCGGCCACAAAGCATCTTGGGGCAGGCACATGCGCAGATCACATTTTCGGCCGGATCAAAAGGAGAGACACAAGGTAAGTCTAAGGATGAGTGCATCCGCATGCAGACACCGTGGGACAGGAAGTGCCAGCAAGCTCAGAGGAGTCAGCGCTGAATCAGAGACCCGCCACAGCACTGGAAGGACAGATGAAAAGGTGCCTTTAATGTAACTTTAAGGGAAACCTACACTAAAGGAAATACATGGGCAAAAATGCAATTTGCCTGAGATCCTGTTAAAAAAAGCCTGCTCAGTAGCTCAAGAGGAAATTTATGCAAAGAAATAGATGACTTATCCCTTACGACAAAGCTCAGATTGATGTTTCAATCAGACATACAGAGGTAGGAACTTAGGAAGGAAGGCAGTACCTGCTGTGCTTTCTCTTTAGTTTAACCACAGTGTTCTTGCAATCCATTGCCATGTATTACATGTTTGCACATTTATTTGTTTATTTGTAAAACACAGATTGTATACATGTTGTAAAAATATGGAGATAAACCAAAGTGTAAAATGTACATGCTTAAACAAAAACTAAAATAACACTATCCTTTGATCTTTATCGTTTCCCATATTATGGGAATAAGACACAGAGAGTAGGGTTTTATCAATGTCTTACTCTTTTCAAAATGAAAGAAAAATATTTGGATTTAGAAAAACTAATGTACAATATAATATGAATTTCAAGTGCAAATATAAGAGACTGAAGCTCTGTAAAGGAACATTTGCCAGACATTAGAAGACAGTTGTAAAATCTGTACTGTGATCTGTGATTTTCTAGTGTCTTGGTCCACCAGTGCCCACATAGAGTATTTAATTATAGTTGGTTACTTTCTACTGGATATTTAGTCTGCCTTCATAGATCTTCGTACCATGTCACCTCTATGGCCCTTCACTATGAATGAATTACATAAAGGCATACATATTAATCATTTTTTTTATTTCCCTACTTAGAATTTGATGGTATTAGGTGAGAAACATTATTTTCCCAGTCCAGTAATTGACTATTAAAGACGTCTGTTCAGGCAGGGGGTATGTTTTGTGCTCCAAGGTGCATTGTTATAGTTCACTTACTGTGACCAACCTTTCTGCTATAAAATGTAGATTTCAAAATAATAGTTATTCTAACATAAATTAAGTTTATAAAGCACCTCACCATGTTTCTTTAACCCACTTTAGTAGAGACATTTCTCAACATTGACTGTATGCTACAAAGAAAATATAAATCTTAAACAGATACATTGTCTTTGTTGAGAGTTACATAATGAATACAAAATAGCAAAGTAAATCTAAAATGATTTAGGGCAAATATAGTTCTTCAATTGTGATTCTTTGAAAAAAAGTTTTACACTTTAAATGAAAAGCAGTCCCCTGCTTCACAACCCATTTGTGTAATAGCAAGAAGGTACCCTACCTTCACAATACACTTGTAAAAAAAAAGCAGGATGCTCTGCTAATGTTGCCTCTGTAAACCAATATTCTCCCCTGAGACATATTGATGTTTATAGAAAGAGATGTTTTTGCTCCATTAAGCAGCCCAAGGCCGCTTTCTAAACTTCTGGCACTAAACTTTGTCTTACTATTAAGCCCAACCCTCCAATGATCTCAGCCATTCATACACACATTGACTAAATATACAATGAGGAGCCCTGTACCCTTTTTGATAGGTTTAGTCCATCCATATCTGATTTAACTTTGTGTATAGTGGCCATCTGGTTGAATTAAGTTGTGAAAGTGCACCCACTCATACATATGACATACATATGGGTTGGAAATGTGAGAGAAAGAAAAAAAACTAGCCTCTGTGGTCAGCGGGAGCAAAACCACCCCAGTGTTGGTGATCAGTTGAAGAAAACATGCCCCCAGCATCGGTGGTTAGTGGAAGGAAAAAAATCCTAAACAGCAGTGGTCAGTTTGAGGTATAATGGACTGTCAATGGACTGAGGAACTAACCCCTTTTGATGTCAATGGGAAGAGAAACTGCCCCGGTGTCAGTGGTGAGTGGGAAGAAACTCCACAACAATGGTGGTCACTTTGAGGTATAAATATGAGGTGGGGAAAAGAGCACCCCATTGTTGGTGCCAGTGGGAGAAAGAATACCCCAGCATTGGTGTCTGTGGAAGGAAAAACACCCTAGCAATGTTGTCAGTGGTTACTTACCTGAGGAGATGCTTCAGGTCTCATGCCACTGCAAGTGTCCTGGATGACATAAGTACGTGTAAACCTGTCCTGGGTGCTGGGGCGCTCTGCGTATCAGGAGCCACAGTCAGCACTCCTGATGCCTGGATCAGGATAGGCTTTCAAACTAACAGCGGAGCCTCACAGCCTGACAAAATGTTCCACTTTAAACAGAAGGGCATAAGGAAGGGTGTTGGAGATGAAATATAAGTAACCTTACTTGCTAGCGCTAATTAAGCATATCCCTCAAATTACACTGTCACCCCCTGCTGCAGTTAACTGTTTAGTACATCCCTCTCTGTTTTGTAAGGCCAGCTATTGAACTGTCTGGTCATTTTAAAACCATTCACGCCCAGCTAAAATACTCATGCATGAAAATGTGATAGTCCTTTTGAGTTTAGTGTGGCTGGGTCTAAGATCACACTTATATATACTGTATACAGTTGTTATTGCTATGTCACTTTTGGGGGGATTTTACTTAATGTCCTGGCCAAGGTGGCACAGGGGCAACACGTGAAGAAAAATCTCTGTATGGGGACAACAATAAAACCTTGACAGAAGTAGTATAACTTCTAAAAAAAAATCTGTATTACAACGTATCCCCCCTAGGGGGATTTTTTCTTTTTTTCTTTTCTATATGCTCATGCAGACATCAGTTACACTGCAGGGGCGGACTGACCATTCGGGCAGTCGGGCACGGACCGAGGGCCCGCGGCCATCTGGGGGCCCGTCACCGACCGTCCCCTCGCCGCTGCCTCTCTGCCATCTGCACCCGGTCAGCCCGCCCACGTCAGATGCGGCTCTGCAATCACCGGCTGCTCGCTCCTCACGGCAGGTGACGGTTCCCCAGCGGGCTGCCCTCTACAATGCCTACGATTATCCGCTTTCGATTAGTTGGCCATGTTCACGGCTCCACACACGCCGCACCTTCTCGCTGCTGCCAGACCCGCCCGCATCCACGCTCCACAAGCCGCACCTCCTCCCCGCCTCACGCTCACTGCCCGCCCACATCCACGATCGGCTCGGGGAGAAGAAGAACAAGTAAGGAGGAGCAGGCGTGGGGGGATGACAGCTGCCGACAGACTCGATCTCAGAAGCAAGTTGCTGGAAGACTGCTCAGGTAAGCCTGCACTCCCCCCAACCCTCCCTCCCCCACATGGTTCTCTTTAATGTATTGCTGGGATAGTGGGATTTGTCGTCCTCTATAGCTGATGGTACATTGTGCTGTATATTAGATGCCCAGTACTTGGCCTTAATTTAAATCACTAAACCCCTCACTTATAATATGCCCTATAATTTACACAAGGAGGATTTTAACTTAAATATATTTTCTACTTGGATATGTGTTGGAAGTATAATCTTTTTCCATAAAAAAATTCTGTGTCTTATTGGCCTTAAAATCCACATTTGTTTCCCTGCTTTATTGTGCTGCTCTATGATTTAACTTCTTATACAGATTAATGCACTTCTATGTTATATTTGTTCCTTTTAAACCAAAAAAGACCTACTTGTCCAATAGGAGATTTGGAGCAAATGAAAGCTTTCCTGGAAAATCCACAGAGCGCCAGATTAAACCCACCATGAGGATTTCAAGCCAAGCGCATTCCAAGAGATGTACTTGGTCATGAAGAGTTAAGTCCATAAAACCTGCAACAAAATAATCCAGCGTTAATAACTACTTTCTTGATCTTCTACAATTGCATTCACTGTATCAGTTTATCGGACTTAATTGGTTATGTATTGATTTAAAACTAGAGATTAGAGAATTTCTTAAAGTTGTCTACCAATGATTCACCCAATCTACCCCATTGATGAATCTGCAGTGTAAACAATCCAAGGCAAACAATGAGCTAAAAGAATAAGTAATGGTATATTATAAGAGAAAACATCCAACTTCTGAGTATCCTAAATTTAAATATTTATTTTTATACCACCTGTCTCTTCCTATTTATTATTGCCACAGTGTTTGATGACTTAGACTAGAAGATAACTTTTACACCATGGGTATCTGTAATAGCCAGAACAGCTAATTATGATGAACACTGTGAACCAGACTAATGACAGGAAATGATTAAGAGCTTGGAACTTCTTACCACAGTGCATCGCTCCCTCAATGATGTGATGCAGCTTCATATGCTGTTTGACAACTGCCACTGCTTAGCCTATATTCACTGTATATATTAGAAGGTTTGGAAAAAAATTGCCAGACTGGACATACCCAAGGAATTCCATTGCTGCTTCCAACACCCTCTAGACAGAGCTTATTAAATATCTGATTAAACACTTTGAGAATGAGAGGCTAGAGCAGTATCACTAGCTACAGAGCTGCCCACTCAAGAAGAAGCCATGTTTCCTGATAACTTTGTCATTTTAGTGATAGACTACTGTGGCTCATCCATCCTCTTCTACCTCCTTTAGGTCATTCTGAACACTTTTTTACTCAGATTCAAATGTGTTATACCAGGACTTGATATGGGTGGGGCCAACTGAGATCCGGTCCTGGGGTCCCAGGCCTACCAACTGGAGGAAACATGGTCCCGCACTTACATTTTTGTTTATTGATTCGGCTGCCATAAGGTCCTGCACTTGTTAGGGACCTCACGGCAGTCTTCTGGCGAACCACAGTGGTGTCTGTTTACAGCGCCAGCCCGCACATCTCAGAGCACTTCTGCCAGCCACACATCTGCCCCTGCTGCCTTGGTGAGACTCTCCGTATCTGCCCCTGGTGATACCCTCTGCATCTGCCCCTGGTGAGACCGTCTGCATCTGCCCCCTGGTGAGACCCCCTGCATCTGCCCCCTGGTGAGACCCCCTGCATCTGCCCCTGGTGAAACCCCCTACATCTGCCCCTAGTGAGACCCTCTGCATCTGCCCCTGGTGAGACCCTCTGCATCTGCCCCTGGTGAGACCCTCTGCATCTGCCCCTGGTGAGACCCTCTGCATCTGCCCCTGGTGAGACCCTCTGCATCTGCCCCCGGTGAGACCCTCTGCATCTGCCCCTGGTAAGACCCTCTGCATTTGCCCCTGGTGAGACCATCTGCCCCTGGTTAGACCCTCTGCATCTGCCCCTGGTGAGACCCTCTGCATCTGCCCCTAGTGAGACCCTCTGCATCTTCCCCTGGTGAGACCCTCCGCATCTGCCCCTGGTGAGGCCCTCCGCATCTGCCCCATGTAAGATCCTTTGCACCTGCCCTGGTGAGACCCTCAGCATCTGCCCCTGGTGTGGCACTCTGCATATGCCCCTGGTGAGATCCTTCGCATTTGCCTTGGTGAGACCCTCCGCATCTGCCCCTGCTAAGACCCTCCACATCTGTCCTGAGAGCCTCTGCATCTACCCCTGGTGAGACCTTGCTCATCTGCTCCTGCTGAGACCCTCTGTCCTAGATATCAGGCCCAGAGCAGAGTGGCAGCACAGAACACGTAGAAAATTCAACGTAAAAAAAAGAAACTTGGGGGGGGGTTATGAAAAAATCTTCCACCAGGGCCCTTTGTTCCTTAGGTCCGCCACTGATTAGTATTACCATTACCTAATAGTAAAACATGCTCTTTCTTACCAAACAGAATACTTGGTACATATTGTTTGGGCTGCATTAGACTGAGATAACAAGAATAACACTGTGGTTTACAGGGATTACATTGTTTACTAAGTAAAATAATGTGTAACAACACTGGTGGACTCTTTGCCCAACAACAATACAAATACAATTTTATTTAGTAGACATATGAATGTTTAAAAATGTGTCCAAAATTGACACTGCACAAATAATTTTTTTTAGCAGTGTGGACTAATAGGTATGCAATTGAAAGCTTTTTTTCTGGGTAGAGAGAACTTTTGCAGAGAAAATGCAATGCTTAAAACCCTGACATGCAATAACTCGTGGCAAGTAATAACAACAGGAAAATAATAATTCTTGTATTGATTTGCTGCTGCTACCACCCTTAAGAGCTGAATTAACATGTTCTATCACAAAACAGAAACCTTTCATATATATTTATTCCATCGCCTTATGCATGCTTGATGTCACCAATGAAACTTTAGCTATGGAGAGTGTAAGGTAGGCAATAGGGAAGAAGTTCCCTTCACAAAAACCAAAGAGGTTAAAGTGTACATTTAGTTAAAATGAACCCTATATATAGCAGAGCTTGCTCACACATTCATTAGACTGAGATGACATTGTCATTTCTTTGTCAGACTGATGATAATAATAATAATAATAAAAAACAGATACCCAGTCATCCTACCAGACCTATCTTACTTCCTTACATGAGCTGACAACACTGACGCTTCTGCATTAAAATGGTAAGCAAGATTAATTTGTCAGCCCTATGTGTGAAGTCAGCTTCTGGACTACTCACAAACTTAACCCATATCGGCACAGTGTCCTCTGCTTATCTGTTTAATGACAGTGCTAATGAAAAGTGTAGTTCTGTGGCTGCTGGCACATCAAGACAGCACCAGAAGTACCCATATAAGTACCCATATAAACTAATTATACACTCCAAGCAGGAGCAGTGATTTGAAAGCACTTTGCAATCTGATGAAAAACACTGGAGGAAAGCAGACATGGTGTTTGCACTTGTATATAGGGTAAGACGTTACATACTGTATGAGAAGGGTTAAAGAGGGTTTACTTGTACTTTAAACACCGTACACCTAGCAGATCTTTGGAATTACAGTCTTTATTTGTTTTTCTAATCCATAACAGTGTATAGATTAAGTGAGGTGATAATTAACTGCTGTTATTACATTTTGGATCGTCAAATGTGGTTACTGTGGATTATATTTAAGCCAAGCAATAATGTAACAGTTAAAAGAACAATTACCCATACAAAATATGTTGTGATGTTATGCAGCGTTGCTGAAGCTGTTCATTAGAGTTGTACTGTTCCATAACACTGTATACAGCTTAAAGGCATCTCCCAAGGATGTATTAAAAAGGAATAGTGTTTTTCCCATGTCGCCCTCAAAGTTGCATTAGAAGGAGGACATTCCACCTGCTGAATGGTATTGTGTAGTTTAAAAAAAATCTCTTGATACATGTCCCCCATGCCTGTATCTAGCTCCCCCTGTCCTTTGTTTGACAATACTTTGCCTATTACCCTTCAAAATCGCCAGAATGTATTCTAAAGACCTGCACCCATTGACTTAAACAGTTTGTTGAACGGCCTGCAAATCAAATCTAGACTGTTTTGCTCATCCCTAGTTGCTGCCCATATCCCATGTTTCTCAGGCACTGGGTTCGGTAAAGCATTTTTCAGAACCAGATGCTGATAATAGACCTCAAAACAGCATGGTGCCAGTACAGCAGAATCAAGAAATTAAACCCCACTACCTGCTTCTGCTCTGTGCTGATCTAAGGTCCAAAGGAGTTAAGAAGGAAGGTGGGAGGGCTCTGATCTCAGGATCTGGAGAGGTAAAGGGCAAAGTGGGCTGTTCTGAAGCCTGAGAGGGGTTAAAGGGAAGATGATCTGAGGTCCCTGAAGGGAAAGGGGGGCTCGATTTAGGTCTGCAGAGGGTTACAGGGAAGAGGGGTTAAAAAGGGGGCCTGATCTGGGATTTAAGGGGGATAAATAGGGGAGGAGCGCTGCTCTGAGGTCTAAAGGGGGGAGGGTGGGTAAGGAAGAAAGGGGCTGAGTTGAGGTCTGTTGATATAAGTATATATCAAACCCATTAAATTAGGATCAGGTGTTCAAAATTAAGTGCCAATGATTAGAACGTCCATATGGAGTATACAGGTGGAACCTGTCTTATTTAAACCTCAGATATCAAGAGGTTCTCTTTGCTATTGACAAAAGTGGTGGAATGTCAAAATCAAGAGCTCTCCAAAGACCTAGGAAAGAAGGTTGTAGGTGCCTATGAGTCTAGGGATTTAAAAATAAAAATATCACCAGCATTATTTGATACATTTTCAACCAATAATTCTACTGTAAGAGAAATAATTTACATGTGGTATACATTTCAAATGCCTGCTAATTTGTTACGCACTGGCAGTCCAGCAAATTTAGCCCAAGAGCTGACCATTAGGTAGCCATGAGCCAGCTGGATCAATAAGGAGAAGAACATTCCATCCTTTACCTGAGGAGAAATGTACTCTCCATGGAGGTAGTATATGCCACCATCAAAAAAGAGTGCCTTGCAATCATTTGGCTTCTGCCAAAGCTACCACATTACCTGTAAGGCCACATATTCACAGTGATCACTGACTAAAACCTAGTTAGCTCGTTAAACTGTGTTGCTGGAGAGAACTGCAGGTTCCTCTGTAGAAGATTGATTCTATATGATTTCACCATGCAAGACAAAATAGAGAGTCGAATGAGTTTGAAAAGAACTTGCAATCCCTTTCATGTGACCTTTGAAAGAGGGAATGTGTGACACTAGTGAGGTGTGACGAAATCCAAGCTGCGTGGAGACAATAGGGGAGAAATAACAATACTGATCAATGTTCACTCTCATATTTTATTATGACTGTTTTTGTCAGTAACAAAAACAGTCATAATAAAATATCATGTCTATGCTTAAGAAGCCATACTTAAGTCAGCTTAATATGAATTAGACAACCAGCGGACAATGTCAGAAGGAATGCAGCAGCATCATACTGATTAGGCCTTGTTGTAAATGTCCATGTCATAAATAGTCTGGTATGTAG